GCTCTTATGTAAGGGTTATAATTGTGACTGACGATATTGAAACTGATTTATTGGTCGAGACCAGTTTCTTATAAATCAGATGAAGCTGTTATTGGGAATAAATTGGAAATGTCACAAAGCTGCCAAAGGAAAGGGAAATTCGAAATGCTGCACACACGTTGGGATTTTGAAAATCGTCCATAGAAATCTTCAGCATTGGAGTTTCCCTCTGCAAAGGAGTTTCTGATACGCTGAAGTTTTTATTTTTACAAACTGGCATTAAAACTTTTTTGGAAATGTGATCTTCCTTAATGCGGCCATAGGGCAGTAAAACTTTACGGACAGTGTAAAGAATCCTGCATGATATTTCACAATGCTGTGGACATTTGTACTTGTTCACAATTTTGTGCATATATGTAGTTACAGTTTAAAGTAAAATATATTGTAAATATGTAACATGGTGTTTGTTTCTTGCCTCTTTTTTTTCACCTGACTTGAAACGACAGGTAAGCAATATTGATAACACGGATGGTCAAGTTAACATTTTGATTCTGAGGTATGAACAGGGCTCGACGTATGTGACGACCCGATATGTCAGGCCAGATATGTCCTACGACCAGAGAACAGGCCAGATATGTCCGACAAAAAAGAGCCAGATGTGTCCGACAGGCCAGATATGTCCGACAAAAAAGAGCCAGATGTGTCCGACAGGCCAGATAAGTCCTACAAAAAAGAGCCAGATGTGTCCGACAGGCCAGATGTGTCCGACAAAAAAGAGCTAGTTGTGTTTTTAAAATTAGAACATGTTTTTCTCTTTTCATGTTTAATGTTCTTAATTTGTTCTAGGTCATTCTGAATGACTTCCTAAAACAGTCTTCAAACTGCTACATTCATTACAAAACAACATAGAACTGTAAAAAAAATAATAATAATAATAATAAATAAAAAAAAGTGGCAAAAGTGGTTTCTGCGGTTGTGCCACAGGACGTCATGCCTGCCCGCAAACGCAAATGGTTTGCTAATGGATCACTCTTGACCAAAAAAGTTGTTACACCTCTAATTTTTATGATTTTGTTTACAATGATCAAAACACGGCTAAAACGGTATTAAATAATGTCTCTTATTCCGGGTTTCGTATCTAACTTGAACTACGGCATAAAAATAAAAAGTTGTTTTTAAAAGTACATGCACCCCCCCCCCCCAAATCTGATGTTCCACGTTGATTTCCACAGAAGTAAAGAAGAAAAAATGCCAATGAACTTTAAAAAGCACCGCCAAATGTCACCTAATGTATACACAATTAGCATTAGAATGTGCTTTTTTTAAAAATCAAAAATCACTTCTAATAGCGTGTGTGTATACCGCACACTGTGGGCGGCATACATTCAACAAGGATTTATAATCTGTTTTGTAGGATGTAGTTCCATTTTGCCAGAAGAGCTTGACGTAGTTTTTCCAAATTATTTGCATTTACTTAAACAAGTTGTCAGACAAAGTGACAATTTGACAATCATTTTGATTTTGATTCAGATTTTATATATTCCATGCATTGGTAATGCCCACAAAGAGGCAGTCGGTAATCGCTGTGCAGTACACCGAGTATTCTAATTGCAAATGGTGAATCAGAAATTTCTGCGAATTTTTTCACACAAAATAAATAAACATTGTTAAATTTAACTAAAAGAGTAAATTTTTGGATGGTAAAGCAGTGGACATTAAAAAGGTGTGTTTATAACTCGTCGTTTACTTTTGTGAAAAGAGTTTTATTGGATCTCAGTTTTGATAGTCAAGAAAGTTTCATTTATGATAGATCCAGATATTTGGTTTACCTGTTGACTGTTTCATCCGTTCACTCTGACAACAGGTAAACCAAATATCTGGATGTATCATAAATAAAAACTTTCTTGACTCGTTTACTTTTGTAAAGTTATAGTCATTGCCGCTGTTTTGGAAGTTCACGTTGCGCTTATCGTTTTTTTAGTAATAGAAAAATTATCGAGAAGGCCAGAAATGTGAATTTTACGCCTCTAATCTAGAATTATAGGCCTATGTCAAGGCAATTCGTGTTAGTTTTTTTAAATGATGTTTGACCGGGAAACTATGCAACAAATGAAAGCGGCCAGCGTGGGACTCTTTTTACACAACACAGAAAAGTGGGCAACTAAATAGATTTTTAAAAGACGTCTTCACAAATTTTAATTTTGGACAAGCATCTCTATTAGACATTTTATTATTAGCCAGTGATCTTGCAGAATAAAGAAAGAGGACGCTCAGTCTCTCATGAGATCGCTTAGGGATTCGTTTGATTGTGTGTGTGCGTGTGTGTGTGGGGGGGGGGGGACTGCCTCATACATAAAGCGCTACGTATTCACCGTGTGATGTTTCTCATTTTTGTCTTTGCACCAGGAAGTGTGACGTTGAGAGGGTAGACCTACAGCATTCACCCAACTTGAACCCCCCCTCCAGATTTTTATCTGTGGGGTGTCTCAGGGATGTGTACCAGTACAACTCTCAAACTATTGATCGGCTGAAGGCAGCAATCAAAGCAAATATCAGGGAAATCCCCAAACACGAATGTGTTCGAGTAATTTTACGCGACGTATGCAAGTGTGCCTTCAACGCCACGGAGACCATTTAGAGCAAATTTTGGAAATAACATAACTTTTATGCAAAGCGACAAAAAAAAAAAAAAAAAAAAAAAAAAAAACGTTGAGGAAATATCGTACACAGACTGAAGTTAAAGACCTTTGTAGGATTTAATAAACTTTCATGGGTTCTGTAATTTTTTGGGTCACCCTGTATTTGTGCATAACACGGCTTCTAAAGTGAACAAAATGGTGAGATCAATTTATAACATAATAATTGGACATGCGGTATTGGGGAAAATGGCTTGATGTGATTTTTCAGAGTAATGGGCAGATTACATCAACCAAATGATCAGGTAAGGACAATACTGCGATAAAAAAATTAATTACTTGCCAAATGCGCGTTTGTATAATAATGTCAAAACGTATATAATTTGTCCATTTGCTAATGGCCAGATATGAAACGATCCTTTCCTGTGCATTAGTCCCCATAAATATAACATCAGCGTTCATTTTCGTTTCAGTTTTTAAAAGCACTAATCATAGTATGGGCTTGAGTCCGTCAGTAGTCTTTGTCTAGTATAAAGATGAATAATTAAATAGCCTTTTTATCCTATTAAGTAGCATGTAGTTAGCAAATTGACATTTTAATATGATTACTGCCGGACTGATGGTAATTGTTCGGTGCGTTGATAGATGGCGTTCGTATGGACGCAAGTGTACTTGTACCGTCCTGCGTGTCTGGGACCTTACGAATGTTCAACCCTCTAAAATCGGCAGATAACAGCAATTGCTAGCTAGAAGACTGTCCGTGGTATTTAGGGTAGTGTGCTAAACAAATTGTTGTAAGTGAAAAATTGTGTTTTCCTACGCTATTACCTACGCTAATTTTAACAGGTTGTGGAATAGCAGCAGTGGCAATAAGGCAAGGTTTGAAGACCGATTACACGCTCGAGGTGTGGCGGGTTTAAAATGAAGTGTTAGTCACGTGAGAGTAATCTAAGTAAATAGACGTGGGTTTAAAGAGGACTTCGGATAAACTGGTTCTTAAAAAAGTAGTCCTGTGTTCTAAGAGAAATAGTGACAGATTTTTAAACATGTGGCATTAATGATATCTGTTTCTCATCATTTTATAAACAGATTTTAGAGCGGGAAGATTTTTCTATCTAAAGTGTACAACCATATCAAACTGCTACTTTTTGAAAAGTATGAAAATACTTAAGAGTATTTAAATGCTTAAAAAAAATTTAAACATTTGGATATACATCCACGTTCCTCCATCCTATTTGACGTCTTTGACATCTTTACGTCTTTGCACAAATATTTGGATCCTTTACATCTTGAGCAGCATTTACTGAGTCTATGTAGATAACATGAAAACATCTTCAACTTTTCAGTAATATTGTTTTCTTTAAATGATGAAAAGCGCATTATTCAGTCAATAGCTTCATTCGTGGAGGTAGCTAGGTCGTCTTTCCTTTCGCAAACAAAGTGTGTGTTGCCTGTTTGAAAAATCACTTCCTCTAAGATCCATTATTTACAGTTATTCCCGTATTTAAGTGCGCTTAAAAGCGTTTTAGCTAAATTTTGTGTAACTTTTTTTTTGTCAAAAACNTCTTGGTCGAGACCAGTTTCTTATAAATCAGATGAAGCTGTTATTGGGAATAAATTGGAAATGTCACAAAGCTGCCAAAGGAAAGGGAAATTCGAATTGCTGCACACACGTTGGGATTTTGAAAATCGTCCATAGAAATCTTCAGCATTGGAGTTTTCCTCTGCAAAGGAGTTTCTGATACGCTGAAGTTTTTATTTTTACAAACTGGCATTAAAACTTTTTTGGAAACGTGATCTTCCCTAATGCGGCCATAGGGCAGTAAAACTTTACGGAGAGTGTAAAGAATCCTGC